CAGGGCGTGCAACATCCGCACGGTGTTCGCATCCAAGGGTGCTCCGGGCTGCATGAGGCCAAACGGGTCGCTTCCTCCGCCTTTCTCTGGGGCCCCCGCGGCATGGCGTGCCGGAGCCGTAGCCAGACCTGGGGGCAAACCCAAGTCGCTGATGTGATGGTCGTAGCGGAATAGGGGCCTGTGGGCGAACGGCTGGGGCGAGCCCAGCCGCGGCCAGCAGGGGGCCGGTGTCCCGCAGCCCAAGTGCAAGTGCCGGCGCAGGCACTGCTGGCGAGCGGGGCGGCCGCGTCTCGCTCAAGGGCGCGCTATCGGCCTGGGTGGCTGGCGGCCCTTGCGAGCGGTGGCGCTCGGGCGGGAGCTTGAGCAGACCCTGCAGGCTGCTCGGCGCTGCCTCCAGGGTCTGAGGCCGTGAAGACACCTGCTGTAGCGCCTCCCAGCTGCCAATGTGCCCATCGAGCCGTGCGAGCTCCTCAGGCTCGGTCGTCTGCTGCCTGAGGTGCTGTGCGTAGCGGATGAGGTTGGCGAGCACCTGGTGGGCCTCCTCGCCGAAGCCGGCGGCCACGCTCTGCACCGCCGCTGCGTCGCTCGATCCCCGGGCCTTCTCCTCCAAGTAGCATGCCATCATATCCCCGCCGTCGTCCTCCTGATGGCTCTCTCCCGGCGCGGGTGCCTCGGAGCTAGCTGCGCGCCCACCCTCGGCTGACGGCGAGCGCGAACCTCGCCGGGCAGACCCAGCTGGCGGCTTGGGTGAGCTGCTGCGGTCCAGCCGTTGCCAGTGGCTGCGCAATCTGGCGTCTGCCTCGGTAGCTCTCGCCTCGAAGCTTGGGCTGGGTGTCACTCCCCCTTCAGGGTGCCACCGGACTAAGCTGGCCACCTTCTCGCGGACCAGCTGCCAGCGGGCCTCGCTGAGTGGCCCGGCGCGGCCGCCCACGGGGAGCCCGTGCCACGCAGCCAACTTGTGCCAGACTTTCTCGGGCATGTTGGTCGCCAGGACGCTGATGCCGAGCTCCTCGCAACCCAAGGGCGCGTGGTGGAGCATCTCCTCGATGAACCCTGCGGGCAGGCGCCCCGAGGGCCCCGGAACAGGTGCACGGATGACGCCGTCAGGCTTCACCAGAAAACGGACGACGGCGCCTGTCGGATCCTCCACCTCGAGGGCCATCGCGCCGTCAAGGTACTCGGCGACCGCGCTGGCTGCGGCGGCATCGGCTGCCCTTCCCCTGAAAAGCATCCCCTGCGCCCCTTCTGGCCATTGCACCTTCGCCCGAACGATGAAATGCTGCCCGAGCGGCATGGGCGGCGGCGTGGGCGGCTTGGGGAACTCTGGGACCGGCGGCGCTTCAAATCGCACGCTCGGTGGTCCCGCAGGCGCGGGGACAGGATCGCCTGGGCTGGTGGGTGCCTCCGGGGCAGGGACCGCCGGGGTGGAGCGCTCTGGAGTGCGGCTCCGGGCTGGAGCGGCAGCGGCACGCTCTGGCGGGCGGCTCCGCGGGGCAGGGCTCCTCCGGGTCCGACGCCGCAAACCTGCGAAGAACCCGCCACTTGTGGGAGCGTCGTTGGTCGCTTTGGCAGCGTCGCCGCCGAGGTGCTGCAGGCAGACGGGAACCCCTGAGGCCATGCCCACCGCTTCGCGAAAGCACGTTACCTGAGAGCACTTCTCGCCATAGCGTAGGACCATGTAGATATGCTCGTGGTGTTCGCATAGGCAAGCCGTCGCATTCCCCTCACTGGGGGGCGCGAGGCCCGAAGCTCGGCAATCCTCCACCAACAACGCGGTCGGCTCACCGCGAGCGTCATCGCGACAGCCTTCAGGCGCCAGCGGACGCATCTTGCCTTTGATCATGAGCCCCACCTTCACCGCCTCGCAGGGGTTGTCCTCGACGTCCACTTCGGACTCGGACTCCTGGTCGAGCGGCCTCGCCACAGACCCCTGCACGCCAGGCTCCGCATCGCCAGTTTTGCGACGGCGGCGTCGCCGGCGGCGGATGCACGCCCCGCAGCACGAAAGCCATGAGATGACGCACAGCAGCAGCTTGTAGGTCAAGCCCAACCACCGCCAGAGCCAGACGAAGATCCGGCATGGTGTGAACTTCGAGTAGTCGCCGAGGTCCACGATAGCCTCGTTGTCGAGGGCGGCGCACTCCTTTCAGTGCAGCTCGTTCTCGCGCCCCTTGCACCCAGTGCAGCCGGCGGAGCGGCACAGGTGGAGCCAGCGCGGGTCGCGCTGCTCGAGCTCGCGCCGGAAGCCCTTGTCGCGGAGTCGCACTCGACCCACAGTCCTTGGCGGTTGATGCGATCCGGGGGCTTCATGTTGAGCTTGAGCCGCGCGACTCGGTAGTCGACCCTGATCAGGAGGTCGTTCTGGCCACGCTTGGAGCCCCTGCCCTCCTTGATGCTCTCGCGGTACCAATCAGTGGTCGGGTCCGCGCCCACAGCTGGGCCGCGCCATGCCGCGTCGGCGAGGGGCGGGGCCGCCGGCGGGACCAGCTTGTCAAGCTTGGCCTCGCCAGGCGTCTTGCGCTTTGGGCAAGGGCAGCATGCCAGCGCCAGACCGCGTGTCCAAGCCGCCCAGCCGCAGGGGGCAAAGAGCGTCCTCAGGCTGTGGGCCAGGAGCGCGATCACGCCGGCGCTGGAGGGGATCGCCGCGAGCCCGGCGACTAGCGGCCACGCGGAGCCGAACAGGTAGAGGCCCACCTGGTCGGCCATGTACAGCACCCAGCCGCCGTCTGAGCTCAGCCAACCTCCTGCCTCACGAGTCGAAAAGGCAGAACTGAAGCTCCCAACAGCCCTGAAAGTGCCCCCGCCCATCCCCTCGGCGAACCAGTGCGTGCGGTTGCCGATGTCTTTCCAACTGACGCCGAAAAGACCCCAACCCCTGATCCAGGACGACGGGTCCGAGTCGGAGGGGTCGGGGGGGGGTGTGGGTCGGGCCCTGGGGAGGTGGGTCGGCCGGCGGCGCGAAGCGCTCGCGCGGCGGACCCCCTCCGGCACCTCCCGCGGGAGCAGTATGCTCGCTTGCGGGGTGCGCCCTGATCGGCAGCGCGTCCTCGCGCGGGGAGGGGGCCACGGTGCCGTCGAGCCAGAACGCCTTCATGTCCACGTCCGACGCGTCGTCGTAGTACATGTACTCGGCCTCGTGGTCGGGAGCCGTCCGCCAGCGCCCAGCGGCTGGCGGCGGCGCCGAGGCCCCGGGGCAGCTCCTCCAGGCGGGCCCCGGCGCGCGCGCGCGCTCTGCCGCCCTCGCCTGGCATCGAGCCGGCGCCGGCGCGGGCCCGCGCCTGGCCGCCGGCTCGGCGGGGGTGGGCGGCGGCCGTGCCTCGGCGGCTGCCCCTTCGCCCTCGGGTGCTCCGCGGCTGGCGTGAACCGGCGCCGTTCGGCGCCCGGGCCCCCCGCCGCTGGGCAGCTGCGCGCCCGCGGGCAGCGTCACCGCCGCCCCCCAGCCGCGCGGCGCCAGGCGCGGCCGCGGGCGCCCCCTTTCGGGTCTGGTCCCAAGTCCCGAAAGTCTTCTGGCCCCGGTCCCGGGGCCCGGCCTTAGGCCAACTGAGGCCGACCCCCAGCTTGGCCTTTTAAAAGGCTTGAGCCGCCAAGCGGCGGAGAGAGGGGAAGAAGCGGGAAAGGGCAAGCAAGGAGGCAAGGGCAGGAGCAAGGGGAGATCCATCATTTTTACCAAACATCCTATCCTCGCCCTGCTCGCCCGGCCGCTCCTCCGCTGACGGCGGATGCGGGGCGGCCGCCGCCGCGCGGGCCTCCGGCGGAGGTGGGGCGGCTGCCGCCTCGCGGGCCTCCTGCAGCCGCACGGGAAGCGGCGGCCTCGCAGGCGCCGCCGGCGGGGCCCCGCGCCGCGCGGCTCCTTTCGCGTCGTCGCATGCTCTCGCTGCGCCCTGGGCGCTGGCCCCGGGCTGGCCTCCGAGGGTTCCGCGACCACCGCCCCAAGGCCCCTGGGCTTTCAGCGAACGCCGCACTGGCCCATCCGCTGGGGCTGGCCGCGACCGCTGCTGCCGCCGTTTCGGCGCGGCCGCTGGCCCTGCCGCTGCCGCTGCCGCGTCTGTCTGGCTGGGGCTGTCCGCCCCCCGCCCCCGGCAGCCCGCGGCTGGCCAGCCCCAAGTGCATCCCGGGGGTAGCGGCGCCACGTAAGCGACGGCGCCGGCCCCGCCGTGCCAGCCGGACATGGCCTGTCCCGGGCGCGCTGCACCATGCGCCGCGCCCCGCGCGGCCGGGGGCGGGTGGCGCGGCTCCGCCCTGGCCTCACAAACCTCCTCAAGCCACAGTGGCCTTGAGCCGAATCCGCACGGTCCTGGGCAAAATGGGGCTGTCACATCCGTATCTTCGATGACTGGGCGATTCCGGGTCGATGCATCTTCCCTTGCCATATCCCCCTTTATCGTTGCCCCTGATCCGCCAATTCTCGTATCCCGTCTCACCTCGAGCCCGTTTCAACTTACTAGCGATACCGCCCGTGAGCGGCCCCGCCCCACCCCCTCCCCCTTCCCCTGGTCGTGTCACGACTCGCGCCGGAGCCGTGTGGAAATGAGCCATTCCCAAGCATTCCCAGACAGCGCTGCCGCGGATCGTGAGGTGACCGGCCCCCTCTGGCCCTCCCCCCCGTCGCGCCTTTTCTCGCCAAGGGTTACAAACTGTCTCCTCGCCCTCTGCTCCCTCCACCGTGTGAATGGTGTCCCAAATCCTGGAATGATCGAAACAGGTCATGTTCTGGACCCCGGGTCCTTCTCCAAGACCAACTCTTCATCCTGATCGAGTTGCTTTCTGGCAGTCCCGGGGCCGGTGGAGGGCCTCGGGAAGCCAAAAACCGCTGAAAACCCTCAGGAACCGTTTCCCTCAGGACCCGCTTCTCTCATGGCGACTGCTCTGCTGAGAGACCATGCCATCGCCCGAATCACGGCCAAAGCCAAGAGAAGCAGAGAGGCCTAAGTTACGGGCACCTGGAATTCACACAGACTGTCTGAGCCCAAATCCAGGCGAGATACAGGAAGCATGGGCTCCAGCATTTCGAAGAAGTAGTTTAAGTCGGCGAGTACTTGATCACGCGGCCTGCGAAGGAAGGTGGCACGAGCAGACAACGACGAAATTACGCCGACGTGCGATGGCACCAGACAGACACGATTCTTGCACAGGAGAATACAGTGAACAACACATCACGTAAGGACTGGGCAACGGCGTGCGGAAAAACAACACTTAGACCACACATGTGAAAACAATCAAACCACACTGCAACCGCGCTGCAACCAGACTGCACAACAACAACCGCGGTTGACAACTTCACCCGCGATCAGCCATGATCCAAATACCAAAAACAGCTTCGACATCTACCCACGCAACCAGCCCTTGGAACGTCAAACCAACCAGTGTGAATCATAAGCAGCATGCCTGTATATATTCCATGCTGGGCCCGTACGCCTGTTTGTACTAGAGCGGATCGGCATGTGTCAATTGTTGGCATGCCACTCAGAAACACAAACAGACGCACATCGGATTGATGATCTCGCACTCCTCGTCGTCATCCTCCTGATCCCCACGCGTCCTCCTGCTCCCAGTCAGCGGATGGAGTCTGACCACGCCTGTCTTTGGTGGCCAACATGACGAGGGCCTTGAACTTCCTCCAGCTCAACGTCCCGGTGTTGTCGAAGTCTACCGCGCGCGCGGAGTGGCCACAATCGGACCCCCTCGCCACCACCTTGAAGATCATGTTGGCTTGGGAATCCCTTCATATGGGCACCGAGATCTACACATAGCCACTGCCCCAGGATGGGCCAAGCCTAGGGTAGATCTCGGCCTCCAGCAGCCAGGAATACCGCCCAAGAGCGGCACTGGCTACAATACGCCGATACATTGGGCATGTGTGCGGGGAAATCCTGGGGTGTTCGTTCACGGGTGGTCCCGGCAGGCGCGTTTTCATTCGCGGCTCTGCTCTCCAAGCGCGCCAGCCCGAATTATGGAACCGAACCAGGTCGTAACCGTCAGGGAGCCCCTTCTATTGACTTCCCCGTCAGGGGAGGAGCCGAGGCCCCCTCAAGATCTGCCAGCGGGCACCTCCTGCACGCGAAGCCGTCTTGTTCACGAGCGGCGAACATGTCAATATCCGCGCCCTCGTTGTCTGGATTCCGGGGCGCTACCCCGCGGATAGCGGTCTCACGGATGCGGCCCGCGCGGGGAATCCGCGAAAAACGACCCGTATCCGTGGGGTCGCGGCCCAGGGGTTTGGCCCGGAGGCCGCGGATATGGAGATGCTCTTCGCCCACGACTGGCGTTTTGAGCCGAGACTACCTGGTGAGCATCAGGAAGCGCTCCTAGCAGCCCAAAGAATCTGGGAGCGGGATCGACGTCACGCACGCGCCGGCACGCTGCCTACTCGCTCCCGCCCGTCGTCTGCCTAGCTCAGCGAGCTGCCCAATTATTGCAGCAGGCCAGCAAGTTGCGAGAGGCGACGTCTAGCCCTCGATCGAAGGCGCCTGCGCGAGCCCAGACATCCGCCGACATGATTTCTTGCCATCGCTCGGACGTCCACTCACCGTGCACGTGTCGGCTTCGTGCGTAAATTGTTTCGCAAGGTGATCCGAGATGCTCCTCGATGGTCGATGCTCCTCACCGCGAAAATTATCCTAGCGAGAGACTCAACCATATGCAGTTGTGAGTACCGTCGTTGCGGGTATGCCTTCGGGGGATCTCCTCATGGGCCATGAAGCATGCGAAGGGTATGCCGATGTGGGGCGGGGCCGCCATGTGGGCGCTGCCAAGGCGGAACGCACTTCGAGGCCGCGAAAAGTGTGAGGAATGCGCCGCAGTGGGGCGGGGCCGCCACTGGGGTCTTCGGCGGAGCTCCCTATGAGGCAACGCAACAGTGTAGTAGTGGCCGTGGGACACGCATGCGAGTATAGCCACCCTGGCATTCGGTGCAGCTCCCTATGAGGCCACGAAGCGCAGTATTGGGTGGGGGACGCAGGCGAACACCGCCACTGACGCCTTCGGAACTCCCTATGGGGACACGAAGCGCTGCTCTGGGTGGGGGAACCGCATGCGAGTGCATCCACTGAGGCATTCGGTGGAGCTCTCTATGGGGCCACGAAACGCCGTACTGGGGTGTGACGCATGCGGGCGGTTCCACTGGGGCCTTCGGTGGAGCTCCCTATGGGGCCACGACAGGCTGTACTGGGTGAAGGGTGACGCATGCGGGCGGTGCCAATGGAGCCTTCGGTGGAGCTCCCTGAGGAGCCACGATGAGGGGTGACGCATGCGGACGGAGCCATGGGGGGCCTGCGGTGGAGCTCCCTATGGGGCCACGACGCGCTATTGGGTGGGGGGGACGCATGCGGGCGGTAGCACTTCGGCCTTCGGTGGAGCTCCATATGGGGACACGAAACGCTGTACTGGGTGGGGGGGTGACGCATGCGGGCGGTGCCACTGGGGCCTTCGGTGGAGCTCCCTATGGGGCCACGAAGCGCTGTACTGGGTGGGATGTGACGCATGCGGGCGGTGCCACCGGGGCCTTCGGTGGAGCTCCCCATGGGGCCACGAAGCGCTGTTGGGTGGGTGGGTAGGAGGGAGTTGGGAGGAGGAGGGAGTAGGGAGGAGGAAGGAAGGAAGGAAGGAAGGAAGGAAGGAGGAACACGGGGCGCTGTCTCTTCAAAACGAGGACCCAACACCACAGGATGGTTGGGAAAAATCTCACGTCCGAGCGATACCAAAAAATGTTCCATCCGAAGACCCAGAATTCTCGACCGCTTCCTTGGTGGCGAATGTTCGCCCCGGATCGTGTGCTGCGCGTCACGGGGTTCGACAACCGGCCACAGGGGCCGAGATGGAAGAAGATCGCCTGAATTGAAATTCTCTCGGGCATCCATGAATGGTGCAAACTCGCCCTCCTGACTGGAGAATCGATTATGCATCTTGCGGCCTCCCACATGGGGTCGGAGTAGAACGTCGGGCTCCGCATCGAACCGCATCACCGATGCATCGGCAAAGCGGCGCGATCCTTCGACCCCATCTGCTTCGACCCCATTTTGATGGACAAGACCTTGTGACTGGGTTGTCGATCCTGCATCGCCCCCCCCCCCCCCGAACACCCGGCAGATGGCCCTGCGAGGGCGTGCGCGCACGGGGCGGCGGAGCGCTGACCAACAAGACGGATCACGCTGTTCGCGGTCTCGACGCTGGGCCCGGTGTCCGCCGAGACCCAAAGGGTATCGAGCCTCCGCCGTGGCAGCAGATCAGGGAAAAAACACGACATGATCATAAACCGATGGAGATCCGCGCTGATTTCTTGGATCGGCGCTGAAGCTGCCTGGCGACGCCTCCGGCGCCGCCCCTGGCGCGCTCCGCCCGCCAGGGAGGGCGGCCAGCGCCGATCCAAGAAATCCGAGCAGAGCTCCGACAACTTGTGTCTGCTAATACTTCTTCGCCGCGCAGTGGCTGGATGCGCGCGAAGCTGCCTGGATACACACGCGGAGAAGCACAGCGTTGAAGTGGCAGTGCGAATGCAAGACTGATGCGTCACACGGGGTCGCCGTATGGTAGAGGCAACAGCATACCCTGCCACTGTCCAAGTGTACATGTGCGCCACTAAACGCCGAAACACCCTGCCACAGAGATGACTGCCTACTTGCCTACTGGACCAGACAGGGTTTTCCCAGAACGGAGCGGCGTCTGGGAGATCTCGTTGGCGCACACCGTTTCGTCATTATTGACGTCCCACGCTGCGTAGATCTTCCAGATGTCGAGCTTATCGGCCTTGCGCCACGGTCTGGTCTCGCCCGCAGCGCGCCTATTACTGTTCTTCATCCGTCTCTCTCGCTCTCTCTCTCTCTCTCTGTCTCTCTCTCTCTCTCTCCCCCTCTCTCTCTCTCTATATATATGCCCGAGAAGCGCGAAACGCAATTATAGTCACGTCCCCGTGGACCGCAGGGAAATCCAGAAACTAGACTTGCAAGAACCGCGTGACCGAGAGTGCCTCTGCGCCATCGGATTCCTTGAGAGCCGCTGCCGAACCCCTGGAGCCTCCTCCTGCTGCTGCCTCCTGCTCCTGACCTTGCTCCGCCCAGGTGTCTCCCGAAGGAAGCTTCAGTGATCCTCCCAGTCCGCACATGAAATCCTTCACGCCCGTCACGCCCTCCGCAGCAAGGGGCCAAGCGAGGTCACGCCGCGAGGAACAATGATCACTCGTACATTCACCCCTGCCTCTAATTCCCTCTGGGTCTCTGCGCTCGCACCCTCTCAACCTGGCTAGAGGAGCACACACGCCAACATGAACATCATCTTTTGACGGTCCGCGCGGATATCGATGTCATGGATTTGCGCTGGACCGCGGAGCGCGCCAGGGGCGGCGCCGGATGCACCGTCAAGGGGGCCCAGCGCCAATTCGAGAAATCCGCACGGAGCTCCGACCAAACAATATTGATGCAGACTGTTGTTCCTCGACTGGCCGGACCCTGCGCGCCACCCTCCAATATCTGCCCGCTGTGCTGGCGGAGCGCTCGCTGCTGTCGCGCAGCAGCTGGCCAGTCCCATGGCGCATCCCAGCGCATGCATCTCCCGCGGTGCGCTCGATACGGTCCATCCCCGGCGGGCTCCGTGCCTCGCCCCCATGGCCCGCTCGAGGCGGGCGCTCCTCGTCGCGACCCCCGACCAGTGAAGCAGACCCTCTGGCGTCTAGCAAAAACAATCGGGGCGGCTTTGTTTCATAGTCTTCGTCTTTTCGGAGCCCTTACCAGGCGTGAGGACCGGCAAAAAACGACTCGGGGTGATAAACCGGCCCCAGGGAAGCGGGCGAGAGGTCGAGGGCCCGTGCCTCGATCTGCCTCGGCTCCGCCTCTAGAGGTACAGACAATAGCATAGACATAAACTTTTGGAGCTCCGCGCAAATTTCTTGGATCGGCGCTGGGCCCCCCTGGCGGCGCCTCCGGCGCAGATCCTGGCGCGCTCCGCGCGCCTGGGAGGTGGTTGCAGCGCCGATCCAAGGAATCCGCGCGGAGAAAAGTGCATGTGTATGCAAAATCCGCGCGTTTGCCGGCGCGGTGCCACGCGGCCCTGCTCCTGGGCGACTTGACCTGCGCTGGGGGCTGCCCGGCGGCGTTAGCTCCCGCTCCCTTCCCTCCTTTTTAGTTCACTGGCTCAAGCATCAAGGTTTTGCGCGCTTGGCGGCGCAACGAATCGCGCAGCTCCCCAAGGTGCCGGACTAGGCGCCGCGGTTCCGGGCGTCCGCGGCTGCGCGCTGCGCCCGTTCTCGCAAGTCAAGAAGTCCAAAAAAGCATGCGTATGCAATTTGTTCCCAAACCCTCCTGTGTTGGGTCTTCGTTTTGATTAAAGCACTGCGGTCGCACATCTCCTTCTCCAACCCCCCCTCCTCCTCCCCCCTCCTCCTGCCTCTGCCAAATGTGCAACTGTCCCCACTTTCCTGGCCCCTGGGAGGCACGGCGAAGTCTGGGAGTACCCGAGCCCTCGCAGCTCTCTGGGAGGCAATGAACTGCGCAACATTCGCCACTTACGTGGGCTCCTGGGAGGCACGCCGGAGCCTGGTAGTACCCGAGCCTTCGCAGCTCAATTGGAGGCAGCGCGCTGCGCAACTGTCGCCACTTTCGTGGGCTCCTGGGAGGCACGGTGGAGTCTGGGAGTACCCAGAGCCCTCGCAGCTCTCAAGGAGGCTACGAACTGCGCAACTGTCGCCACCGTCGTGGGTTCTTGAGAAGCACGGCGGAGTGGAGGAGTACTCGAGTCCTCAGTGCATCCTGGGTGGCTGCGAACTGCGCAACCGTCGCAAGTTTCGAGGGCTCCTGGGAGGCATGGCGGAGTCGGGGAGTACCTGTAACCTCGCAGCTCCTGGGGAGGCAGCGCGCTGCGCAACTTGTCGCCACTTGTGTGGGCTCATGGGAGGCACGGCGTAGTGTGGGAGTACCCGAGACCTGGCAGCTCCCTGGGCAGCTGCGAAAGGCGCAACTGTCCCCACTTTCGTGGGCTTCTGGGGTGAACGGCGGAGTCGGGGGGTACCCGAGACCTCAGTGCATCCTGGGTAGCTGCAAACTTCGCAATTGTCGCCGCTTTCGTGAACTCCTGGGAGGCACGGCGGAGTCTGGGAATAACCGAGACATCGCAGCTCCATGGGAGGGAGGCTGCGAACTGCGCAATTGTCACAATTTTCGTGGGCTCCTGGGAGTCACGGCGGAGATGATAGGGCAGAGCAGATCGTGAGCCTCCCGTGAAGGATGGGTTGGGTATATCTCAGGTAATCGTAATTATTCGAGCATCGGTCGCCTGGCGAAAATCGCAGCGATCCTTTGTCGTCTCGCTTTGCTCGCGGATATTCGTGACAGCCACGCCCTGCTGCTCCTCCACCGATCGCCCCGCCGCTCGAGCCCTTTGGCGTTCAAAACTGATGCTCTCTGCCGAGACAATTTGGCAATTGGCTGCAACGCGCTGACTACATACTCCAACCGGCCCCCTAGTTCCCATCCGGCGCTGGGGTGTAGCTCTCGCTAAAACGAGCGAGCCGCTGGCTACCTTCCCGCCGGCGCCGCGACATGCGCTCCGAGGCACGGCCATGTCCAAAAACGACGGACCCCATCCCTGGGAACAAGTCTCGTAAACGCAGCAGCTGAGGCTTTGTCAAAGCGGCAGGTCGTGCTTCCCTAGCCCGCCTGCCTTGCTTCGTCCACGGTCCCCCAGGGAAAGGGGCACCTGCTATAGTCTTTCAGGGCGCAGCTCAGCTAGAGGCTCCATGCTGGAGATAAGTATGGCGATGGAGCAACAAAAATAGAGAGAGAGACAGAGGAGACCAGCCTGATGGCCACCGAATTACGCGACCTAACTACTTCCGAAAGGTAGACCCTGGGAGAATCTCGAAATGTCGGAGGTTCCTTTTTCGGCCATTGGGGGGGCGATGTTTTTCGCCAACCCTCACGAGGATCGTGGCCCCTGATGGGGGGGTCGCAAATCGAGTACCCCCCCTCTTTTGACCGACCGCCTTCAAGATGCCCCCCCGAGGCCCTCCGGGGCTCCCAAGAGAACACCACCAGGGCCCAAATTGCGTCCCAAGAGGCCTCCAAAAACACCCGCGAGGCCCCCAAGAGGCCCCCGAACGGCCCCCGAGAGGCCTCAGAGAGGCCAAGATTCCCTTCAAGATGGCTCACGATAGCCCAAGCTAGCTCCAGATGGCCCCCAAGATGATCCAAGAGGCAACAAAACCGCTCCAAGAAGGCTTGAGATGGCCACGGAGCTTCCCCATGATGCCGCCGAGATGCCCAAATCCTTCAAACACGCAGCGAAAACAACTGATCCTGGCCTTTCCGCTTGTTTGCTTTCGATGGCCTCCCCGGGCCTCAAAGTGGCTCCAAGATGGCCCAAGGAGGCCCCCAGAGAGGCCCACGAAAACCCCAAACCAGCCCCAACAGTGCCCGATAACGCCCCAAGAACGCTCCCACAGGAGCCCAAAAAACAATGTTAGGCATTTTCGAGAGGCGGCGCCACTTGAAGCCCTCCTTTTCTTTGATCGATCCCATCCAAGATTGACCCAAGAGCGTCTCCAAAGCTCCCAAAATCGCCAAGAGGGTCCCAAGACCGCTCCAAGACGGCTCCGAGTGGCCAAGCTGGCCAAAATGGCCTGTGCGAGGGTCAATTCTGGCATGCCCCTCACGAGGGCCGTAGCCGCTGGTGGGGGGGGGGGGCGCACATCGAGACCCCCTACTTTTGACCGACCGCTTCCAAAATGTCCCAACGAGGCCCTCCAGGGTTCCCAAGAGAATCCGAAGAGGCTCTCAACAGCGCCCCAAGAAGGCCCAAGAGGCATCCAAGAGGCATAGGCCCCCCGAGCGGCCTCAGACACCCCAAGACGACCTCCAAGATGGCTCGAGATCACCCAATTTTGCTCCCAAGATGCTCCAAGAGGCCCCGAAGCCTCACCACGACCCAACGAGGTGGCCACGGAACCGCCCCAGGAGGCCGCCAAGAAGCCCAAACCCTTTGACGATGCGCGTCTGTTCATCTCTTCCCCCGTCAACTCTCACGGGCATCGTTTCTGGATGGGCTGGTGGGGATGTTTTTTTTCGATTGGCGGACCGCGAGGAGAAGTCCAGAGGGCGCGTCACTGAGCAATGGGGCGCAATGCCAGGCAATTGCATGCAGAAGACCACTGGGCGAATGCCAGTGGAAGCCAGACTGCCGGCAGACTGTGCACAAGCCAGGACCCACAGGTGAGGAAACCTGACCAGCGGCCTGTAAGGAGAAGCCCAGAGAGCAAGACAAATGCACAAGCAGGAGCCGGGCCAGAAAAATGCAAAGCGGCTGGGCGCGCAGGCCGATGCCACGCGGCCCAACAGCCCAATGCAAAGAGCGCACATGCAAAGAACCACTGAGCGATTGCCAGCGGAAGCAACGAGAAAGTGCCCTGGAGGCAACGGATCGCGGGTGGAACCGCCGCAGTCGCCGGGTACAAGGCCCGCGCCGCTGCAGCCGCTAGGGACGTAGCCCGGCAAGAAGCGCGAGGACAGAGCGGGAAAAGACCACAGAGGCCCAGTAATGAAGCGGACTCATTCACAGAGCACCCCGTGCTCGTCGGTGGCCCTCCAAGGCCCACCCCGCGGAGAACAGACGACACCTCCCAAGTATCGGTGGGCCAACGACCTGGAAATGACGAATGCAGAAGAACAGCCGTGGCGAGCACCACATCCCAAGACGCCAAACTTCGAGTATCGAAGCCACTGATACCTCGGGAAGGATCCTGAGGCAGCCACCAGAGGACC